GTTCATCAGCCAGTCGGCCATTTTGAATGTTATCTGAAAAACAAAATTATTTGCATCAAGGTCGCATAATGTCTAATGTATATATCAAGTTTGAACAAAATCCATCTGTAAACAGCCGAGAAATGCTTGATTTTTAGGATTTTTTAGCACAAAAATGGCCGCCATTCGGCCATCTTGAATCAGATCGTAAAACAAAATGATGTTCATCAAGATCCTATAATGTCCAACGTATATACAAGGTTTGAACAAAATCCATCTGTAAACAGCCGGGAAATGCTTGATTTTGATGATTTTTAGTACAAAAATGGCCGCCATTCGGACATCTTGAATCAGATCGTGAAACAAATTGACGTGCATATGTATGATATCATGTATGATGTATGTGTGAAGTTTGATTGTGATTGGTCCAGGCATTTCTAAGATACAGGTCCGGACGCACGCACAGACGCACACACGCACACACGCACGCACGCACGGACACACGGAGGTCAAAACATAAGTCCCCGTTTTCGGACTTCGTCGACTAATAAAGTCTTCATCACATTAAGTAATTAATTCCTCTACATTCGAAAATTATGGGTTGAATTTAACATCATATTTACATTGTAAATTAATTTCGAGTGAGCTGAACATTTATAACCCCAAACAGACGATTATCACCAAAAGTGAAATTACGTGCACAAGTGTTCTGAAAATTGAGTAGTTCAGTCAATGAAGTGCGCCCTCATCTGTCTAGGACATTTGTTAATGTATTTATTGCTAATTGTAATTTTTAGCATTTTTATGAACTTTGCTTTAATTTATTTTAATGAAGCGGGGGAGTCATCACCTGCATGCGTCAGATTGCTATAACGTGTCTTGTTTATGAACAAGCGTCTACCGATGAGCCTTTGCGTTTTTAGCGAGTGTTGTTATCGTCGCTTGGGAATCAATTCCTGCGCATGCGTAGGTGACAACATTTAATTTTTTTATTATTTCATACTTTGTGTGGCGAATATCAATAAACAAACAAACCCACCCTCACTATTTTGATATTTGAACAATTTCACTGGGTTTTAAGTTAATAAACTTTGCAGAGAAACAATGAGTTCTACATGTTCATTGAATTAAATTTCAATTTTGCGAAATATGTTTATCAGCATAATTATAAACCAGTGAATAATTAACAATGTAACCTCTTACTGAATTCACATACCCAGTTCTACAGAAATATTGCTGGCATTCACACAAGAACTAGCTTATTCCATTTCATGCATAGGGGTGGAAAGTTATAAATGAGGGTATATACTTACATCTATGATAGCCACAGTCTACATCCATGAATACCGACCATTTTTTATCGTCTTTTAAAACTCTATCACGTAACAACTCCACAATATAGTAGCTGTCTAGTAAGATATGAAAGCTATTGATGGTTTCTGCAAACTTTGCACATACTTCAATCTTAGCTCTGTCTAAATAACCGGTATATAGAATATCATCATAACCAACATCTGAATAGAATTTCACTTCAGCCAAGGTAGATACAGCGATGCAGCGTCTACGACCACCTGTCATCAGATCTGCTCCTTCACTGGAGAAAAAAAATTAATATTATATATATTTCAGTAAAAATAATAATTTTCTTTACCTATATGCTAATTAGCTAATTAATATGCATGAACATTACTGAAACCTATATACGATGCAAGAAAAAATACATATGCATATTAATTAGTATATACCGGTACACAATAAATGATGTGTGAGTGTAAATTTTTTTTATCAATGATAATATTTATAATCAACATTAACCGAGAAAATCAAATTTACAAATTTGAGCAAAATAACTAGAAAATTTAGTACACAATTTATTTATTCTAATATTTTGTACTAAATTTATTCTATTCAACAAAAATGAATATGCACATAATGAATACGTGTTATTATATTTGAAATTATTGATTTTCAGGTAAGTTTTACAAAATTTGTATATAAATATTAAATAAACTTTTTCTTTACTGAAAACTGAAAACTTTAAATTTGTTATTTTTGAGTGCAAAAAATGTAATAATTGTAATTAGTTGTATTGGGAAATTATATTTCAGTAGTTTGGTCCAATGTAGAATCAGTTTATTGGGACCTGCATGAACATTCACAGTGCCAACGTACACGTCAATACCAAACCAATTTATCCACAAGCATTATAATTAAACAGAGTGCTGTTGTTTCAATCATTTTCTGATAACATATCACAATTACTTTACACAGATTTATGATTTATTCATTACTTCATTTATTTTAACAAACTTAATTCCAAGATAGCCTTAGAGATACACAACAGATAAAACCAAGCTGTTTCAATATCATTATACATGTACATACTACAGATAACCATCTACAGTTCATTAATCAGTGCTAAACAAATCTAAAGTCAATGTGATACAAGAATGTGCCTGATTGGCTACCCAACCTTAATACCTCACAGTCTGACCAATCAGAGAGCAGCTTGTTTGTTGACTGTTTTGTTCCACATATCAATTTCTGCTTGTATATTATGCTTTGAGTCAACTGCAAACTAGAGTTTCATTTCAAATCCAAGTTTGACTTTGTGATATTTGTCACAAATAATATGTTACACTATCTTCAGGCATTCAAGCCATTATGATATTCATTCAGTGGTGTAGGGTGATTTCAAGGTTGTGTTGCCATATAGTTTTTGTGGTGTATATAAGAATAGATTTGCACCAATGTGACTTGCTTGTTTCCAAAAATAAACGTTTTGTTTTATCTTACTTCATTATTTGGTGTTTGTTTCATAGATATGCATGTAAAATGGCGAGCCCAACTGACCTTTGACCTTGTGGTATATAATGCCACCTCACAACAGACACCTCATAACAGCCACAATACAAGACAACCACTCATAATAGCCACCATATAAGACAGCCAAGACATACTTTGTGACAAACATGTACCATACAGACACAAAACAAGACAGCCATCACATGACATCCACCACATGACAACCACCACATGACAACCAGCATACAAGACAGCCACCACATGACAACCACCATACAAGACAGTCACATATTGACAACCACCATACAAGACAGCCACCACATGACAACCACCACATGACAACAAGCATACAAGAAAGCCACCACATGACAACAAGCATACAAGAAAGCCACCACATGACAACCAGCATATAAGACAAACACCACACAAGACAGTCACTACATGTGATGAA